CCTAAGCAGGCATTAATTTTACAATGGACAAAAACAAACCTTTTATCTCTTGGCAAAATATAGACATTTTGTGTTACATAAAGTAGATCAGAGTACATTTTACTTTAGACAGTACAGATTAAAAATAGAATTTATTGGGGAAAGTTAAGAGCTAAGGGTCAGTAAAAGTAGGCAGGAGTGCCCTATCCTCCCATCATCCTGAGACAGGTGTGCAGCAGGACACACAGAAGGTCTGCATTTCTGGGGAGGGACCTTGCCCCCTCATTTGCTCTTTTTCTTACAGGTCAAATTTTGCCAGTGTGGGTAAAGTGAGACTCTTTGAGCACTGAATAGTGGGAACTGAGAGTGCCAGGAGTTACCCAGGAAAGCTAATTTTCCAGAAAGAAGGGTGAAAGGGGTCGCTGAGGGAGAGTGCAAGTCATGACACATGGGAAGGACAGTGAGCTTGTTGTTCCTGGAGCAAAGGAACACAGGCAGCGTAGTAGCACGTTTGGGGGAATTGATGAGTTCAGTCTGGGACATACTAAGTCTTAAGCACAAACAAGGTCAAGGTCTCAACTGCACACTCTCACAGCAGCCTGCAACTTTCATTTGTATTGCTTATCCCAATTGCAATTAAATCAATAATTGCATAATTCATGTTTAATCTCTGCTCTGGATTGCAAGTTCCCTGAGGCCATGGCCCAGATCTAATCACTTCACTGCTATATCCCCAGCACCTGACATAGGGTAAAGCAAGGCATAGTTAACAAAACATATGTGTTGAATGAATTAATGAATGTGGAGTTAGTTGTGCAGCACATATTTGGATATATGGATAGAAAATTGAGAGAAAGACCTGGAATGAAGCTCTAGGCTTAGGAGAGTTCTGTACTTAGATAGTAACTGAATCCAAGGCACTGGGTAAGATGGGTTGAAAAAACCAAAGTCCAAGTCAGAAACCTGGGAAACACCATCGTCCAAGTGGGACAAGCAAGAGGAGCAGCTAGAGAGGTCGGCAGGAAACTAAGAGAGGGCGGTTTCCTGGAAGCTAAGGGAAGAGAGAATTTTAAGCCTGGAGAAGTCAAAGGAGTCAAATGCTGCTGAGAGGTCTTGTAAGATGAAAACCACCAATGCTTACAAAGCATTTGTGTGCCAGGCACTGTTCTGACAGCTCTAAGTGTATTAATTCAATTCTCATGACAACCATATCAGGCAGGTGTTATCATCATTGCCCCCTCCCTAAGATGAATTTACTGAAGCACAGTGAGGTCATCCAGCCAGTAAGTGGGGTGGAGCCCTGTATTTTAACCTAGGCTATCTGGTTCCTGAGTATGCTCTTCATCATTATATATGCTGCCTCGGAGAAGAGTAACAGATGGGTCATTGGCAGGAGCAATTTCAGTAGTGCTGTGGTGTGAAGCCACATGGCAGTAAGTTTAAAAAGTGAATTGGAAACAAGAAGGTCCAGCCCTTCGCTGCGAAGAGGGGTCCACTTCTCTCGGGCCCTAGCCCGACCTTCTTAATCAAACTCTCTATTTTCACAAGCTCTAAGGTGGTTCGTGTGCACAGTGAAGTCTAAGAAGTATGACACTAGGTGATCTTTCAGGAACTTTGGCTAAGAGGAGAGAGAGAGAGAAAGAAAAATGTAGTGGTAAGTAAGAGGTTTTCATTCTCAGATGAAGAAACTTAAGCATTTTCATAAATTTAAACAGTGGTTTGCAAGTCTGCAACACATTAGAAGCACCTGGGGTGCTGTTAAAAATGATTAATTCCCTGAGGCCTATCCCCAGAAAAATCTGTCTGTGTGACCCAGGTGATTCTAATGTGGGGTGTAGGGGGTGAAGACCTATCCAAGGAGAAGATTCAAGGAAGGAAGGACAGAAAAGAGGCACAGGCACCAGGGAATGACAAATTAATCAAGGGAAATGGGAAGAGATGGGATGAAAAAATGCAAAGGAGATGTTTTGGGGAAGGAGGAAAAGCAGTAACAGTAAAGCAGAGAGATAAATTTGTAGAGGATGAGTACCAGCAAGGAGATAGACACTTAAAGGGAATCATATCTGAGAGCCATGAATGATTGATTAGTTTCTTAAATTTTAACTAGGACATTCATAGTGTGGCAAGAACGGTACTTTAAAAATTTAAGTCATTTGATGTTACTGGCTTGTTCAAAGCCTTGCAGTATCTTCCCATCACATGTGGCTTACTAGGACCTTGATGATCTGGCCTTGCTGACTTCATTCTCTATTGACCTCCAGCAACCCAGGCTCTTCAGTGTTTCTTTTTGTAGGGACATGTTCTTGCCTCAGGGCCTTTGTACCTGCTATTCCATCTATGGGCTGTTCTTCCTCCAGATATTCACATGGTCTCTCCCTCATTTCATTCAGGTCTCCTCCAAATGTCTTCTCCTCAGAGAGGACTTCCCTTATCACTCTCTATCCCCTTCCTCTGAATTGTTTTCTATCACTACCCAACATCATGTCATAAACTTACTTGCCTATTTGTTGAAGGTCTGCCTCCTCTACCAGTATGAAGGTTTCACGGGAGCAAGGATTTATCTTGCTCACTGTGGAATACCTATCATCTAGAAGAATGAACACAGAGGTAATGCTTGCAAAAAGTTTGATGAGTGATGAGCCTGTTGCTGCTTGGTGAAAATGAATAGCATACTGAGATAGAAAGGTATTGCTGAGAGTGCAAGGAGAAAGTGATTAGCCAGGAAGATTGCAAAAGAATGAGATGATTGAGGACAAGTAAATGGGCATCTTTAAGAGCCCAGTCAAGGAAGGAGTGCAGGGTTGCAATGGCAGGACATACAGTAAACAAGGCAGATTTCCTCTGTGGCTGAAACATGGTTTCTGCACAGGACTGCTTACTCTCTGTGGGGCTCTGGGAGAGTTTTTTCATATTTCTAAGCCTCAATTGCCACGTCATGGGGCTGATAACCATAGTACCTTCCACCTAAGGTTGTGACAGGGTTAAATGAGCTAATAATTATAGAGACTACCATAAGGTAAGCTCTCAAAAAGTTATAATTACTATGATGATCCAGGATCAGGGAATATGTTCTGTAATTGTTCTAAGTCTTGGTCCAAAATGTTCTGCCCTGGAAAAGACTTGATGTGTTCAACCTTATCCCAATCATATTCCCACACAAACATGTCTTTGTTGTGCCAATCCATCACCATCCTTTTCTTCTTTCTGAAAACTCTTCTTCTGAGAGTTAACCTAGCACCTGGCATAAGTTCTTTGATGTTTTTTGATGTTCATTGCACTTTTACTGAACAGTACTTAGGTGTTGTTACCTGGTCAGGAAAATCTCAATGTGGAGTGGGAGAGATTGGTGTCTGCAACCTCCTTAAAGAGTGTCAACCTCAAGAAACAAGATAGCTGCCAAGAAGGACTACTGGTGGCCAGTGGGATCAAATTTAAAATCAGAGCCTACCAGCGGGTCTAACAGGGGCTTCCCCGCCACACAGCACTTCAGGGAGAAGCCTACATTAAATTGCCTGGTTGTATTAGGTTTGTGCCATCTGAGCCAGCCCCTATAAAGGAGTTCCTGGAACTGTAGTTCAACCAATAGGACTGAGACTTTCCCTATCCAATTAGAGCATGCAGCTGTATCCTTATTAGCATCTTCACTGACCAATCAGAGCAGCTCCATTCAGACCAATCAGGATGGTGCTTTTGGACCAATCAAGCTGTGACGATTTGGAATCCTCACTTGCATGAGAACAGACCAATCAGGGATCAGAGTGGGGACCTCTTTCTATATAAGTCAGCTCCTAATGTTTGGGAGAGTATACTTTCCCTTTGCACTGAAGACCATCTACTGATGCTGAACCACTAAAGACCTCTTGCCTAGAGCAGGGCAGAGCGAAGCAGAGTGAACCAACTTGGAGCAGAGCAGTCTAGCCAGAGAGGAGCCTTGTCTTAGGACCGCCTCACCCCAGGACCACCTAATAGTGGCGCTATTCCATAATCGAGCTGTAAAACATTGAGCTGCTCCATAGCTGTGCTGTATCATTGTTGCAGGAAGTGACACCTGATGGAGGAAATTAGATGCTCAGACAACTTTGTTAGAGGAAGGAGACTTTAATGCCGGCGGAGAGCGTGGAGGCATTCAACAGACCCAAAGCGTGATCTCTCCTTGGTTAGATTTCTTATAGCTTATATACTCTTGCAATGTCCATGCAACGGATGCGTGATTCCTTTGTCTGAGGTTTCACGTGTGCTTCATGACTTAGGAAGGGAGGGGGAGCTTTGAGTCGGTGGGGGGTGCTGCAAAGGTGGAGGAATTTCCAGATCACTGGTCTTACAGGTCGTTTGTTTTGTAGAACCCGCGACCTTGGCGTTATCAGCACCATTGTAGGATTCTTGAACAGAGAGATGGGACCTGCTTAGCAGATTCCTATCTAAAGGCTGAGCTCTAATTGTAACATAACAAGTAGTTTTACACAATTTTGTTATTCCTACACAGCTATAGAGATAAGAACCTTAGTTAGATAGCAAGCTATAAACCAACAGATGTGAGCTGGAGAGTCCTTGAGGTGGGGGAGGCAGCTATGGGAAAACATTTTAGCTGGAGAGCACTGGGCAGAATGGGAGGAGAGAGCAGTTTTAACCAGCTGAGTCAGTTATTTCTGCAGGCCCTTTCTTTTGCATTTTTTCAGATGCCTCCTCTCCTCTCTCATCGTGGTTAAGCTCTTTACAGCAAATAAAGTTTTCTTCACTGCATTCCATACTGGGGATTTCCGTTGGCATTGCATTGGAGCTGAAGAGTAGGCTAGATAGACAGACAACATTCTTTGGGGTCATCAAGAAGGCTGGTATAGTAAACATGGCTCAACAGGGGAAGCGTGGGTTTCCTCTGAAACTTCCCTAATCAGGCATCTGCATCGCCAGGACTTTGGGTCCTTTAAGAGGCGTGGCCTCAATGTAGCCACTGAGGGAGTGATTGGCTGAAGCTGCCTGTCCGGGGGGCGGGACTCGGTTGCCAGGGAGCAGCGTGGCTGCCCTAGGGGACTGCAGCGCCTGCGCTGAGGAGCCAGGTGCTTGCTGGGTCTGGGGCTGCGCAGCACACCCGGGGGCTTGAGGCTTCGCCGCGCAGGCGGTGAAGTTTCCAGGCAGGAGGCGCCGTCGCCATTGTAGCTTCGCTGGGTGGGCGCATCCGGCTCTCTGAGCAGGGCACCAGCGACCGCCCGCACCATGGGCCAGTGCGGCATCACCTCCTCCAAGACTGTCCTGGTGTTTCTCAACCTCATCTTTTGGGTGAGCGCGGGACACAGGGCGGGGAAGGGGGAGGGGCCGGCGGCGCGGCCTGCTGCGGCCTCGCCTGAGGCGCCGGAAGGGCCGGCAGGGGCCGCGGCGGCGAGCTGGTGTTAGGGGAAATGGGGTTCTGCGGTAGAAGGGTAGGGAAGTCGCTCCCAGGCTAAGACGAAGGCCCCGGGCGTGGAGGGCGATGATTGGAAGCCTTAGGAGGCGTCAGGCGGCCTCAGCGCTCAAGCCCGACGCCTCAGGCGGCTGGCTTCCTCCAGGGGGCTCCGCCCGAGAGGCTAGGCCGAGACCCTGGAACAACCTGCTGGACCGGGGATTCTCGCTGCAGATTCGTTCAGGACTTCAGACTCAAAATAGAGTATTCCCCAAAGGGTCAGGCTCCGATTTTCTTTTTTTTTGGTCAGGACCTGGAGTCCCCGCAGCTCCAGTGCTAGTCCCGAGCCATTTGACCAAATGGTGCAGATATGCAGGGATGCTGCCGACTCAGGGTGAGGACTCTTATTTGGAGCTCTTTGTGTATGGAGAACTGGTTGGCTGTTAACCAGCCAAGAAAACTGAGAGGTTTCAACTTGATAAGCCAAATAATCCTTTGACCAGGAAAATCAAACGGTTTATTTTGGCAACGGGGTCGAGGAGCCTGAGATTATATACCTTGGTTAAATATGATTCGGATATCACAAGATTTTGAAATTCATGAACCACCTTTCCATAAAAGGTGGTTCATGAATTTTTTTTGTCATGTTCCCAAAGAAAGAGGTGTTTATAACCATTTCATCTTAATTCAGATCCTTACGTCACCAGGGACTTTTGTACTAACCTGTGTTGCTCTTATCAGTCTGTGCTCTAGTCTATCTGGACCTGGCACCTGGGTAAATCTAATTAAGCATTCTTCCCTCATATAGCTTTGTTTTATTTAAACAAACAAACAAACAAACAAAATCCCCCAGAAACTTCAGCAGTAAATTAAGGTTTAACTTCTGGTATTGAAACTGAAGTCCTCACTCACTTTTCCTTCCTCATGACTTGCCATGTTCTTAAACACTTGCTGCCCTGGACAGACTCTCCAGGGTCTCCAGGACACTCGTTGAACATTCTCACTTACTATACTTTTGTATGTCCCTGTTTAACTTCTGCCCACACACATACCTAATTTGGAAAGAATCCTTTTCTTCTTAAAACTCCCAT